GGTGCATTCAAATTGTTGAGCAATTGAATGATATGAGAAATGTCTATATCGTCGATTTGTTAAATACTCGTTCCATATAAATATATATCTGCTGGCATGCATACACATATACATATAATATATAATTGTAAATGAATAGTAATTGACGATACATAATAATTGTCGTCACATTCTAAGTACATTTGTGGTGGGTGGCAGAGGGTTTCGATTTTTTTTTTTTGTTTTGTGTGAATGGGACCGAACTTGCCGTAGTATTTCTAAGCGATTAAGATGTAAACCTGTTTACAAACGAATGCATTTTCGATTTGTTTTTGGTTTATTTTACTCCTGCTGTTGTCATTCATTGTTTTTTCAGCTTTTCGTCTTCTTTGCATGGTGGCTGTTTAGGTTTTTCATTGATTTCTGAGCAAGTTCAAGAATAGCCCGCCATTCTTATTTGTGTTTTTTCTTCTTTTATAGATTGCCCATAACGTCAATTACAAGAACAAACACACACACATTCGTACTAGCTGTTCGGTTGCCTGTACAACTGTCTGTTGATTCAGTCGACAGCAGACGTTTCTTCTGATAGGTCTTTGTTTTAATGTTTAGTAAAAACTTTTGTTGATTTTCTGGGCAAAGGAAAAAAGTGCATTGTATTTTAAGCGGATTAATATTCTTGTTCGCATTATAAATAATTTTCCATATTTATGTGTCCGGCCGCGTAACCCCACAAAGTTTTTGTGTAGCCGACGGGTTGAAAATACAACAAAAACGTCATAATATAACAAGTGTTGGTGGAAAATGGAAAAACTATAATCCCCGCGTAAAATGGGGTGATCGTCTGAAAAAAAGTTTGGCTTATGAAAAAATATTTAAAACTTAATATTGCTTTCCAGTGTGAACTATAACCGCGTACAATAAACATCACATACGGACAACGGGTGCACCATTGGTGCTAGGGAATTCGTTCCGACCAGCCTATGCAGCCTATTTTTCATTAATAATCACCCAGAAGGAATAATATTTATAGTTTTTAATTTAATAAACGGTAAATTTCAAATATAATAGAATTATTTTTTTTAATTTTATTAAAAGTGTGCCATATTTCATTTAATTAATGGCTTGTGTGAATTTCAAATGAATTTGGTGAATGTATATACAAATTCAATTTGAATAATATATTTTAAATGAATTAGTGGATTTTTAATATACAAAAAATGCATTCGACAACATATATGCAATACAAATATAAAAAACAATTCAAAAGTATAACCTCTGAACTTTTTGTCATAGTTCAAAATGTGGAAATGAATCGTTTTCATGGTATGTTAGTGCCAAAAAAATGTATGTCCTTATAAAGGAATGTACACTATTCTTCACATGAACTTTTTAAATGTTTCAGTAAATCAAAAAAGGACTTTTTATTGTGCTGAAATTCTAATTAGTAGTTTGTGAAATATTGTCGAAGGATAATAATTATTTTCGATGTATAATAATATTGTTTATTAAATTAAAAAAAAAAACTGATGAAAATATTTTACTGTTAACAAATTAAGAAGGATATCAAAGGAAATAAATCTAAATTTCTGAATTCACTATGGAAGACTTTCCACTTCTTCAATGTATTGTTCAATGGACCGAATACCGAATCCAACCAGGAATGTCCTTCTTCTCCACCAGCATGAGTTTAATACACTATCATGGCAAGACAATGCTACCTACTAGCATCATTATGGATTTATGCCATACAGTAGTCAACGAAAAAAACGAAAAAAATTGAAAATGTTGTTATTATAAGCGGAAATAAACTATTTTCTTATATGCCGCGTTGATAAATGTTTTCCTAATTAGTGAAAACAAAAATCAAACTTGGTTTAGAATAAATAATTGCAATGTTGTAAATGTAGTTAAAACGGCATATACATTAGAATTATTTACCGGGTTAACCTACTTTATGAGGATTTATTTGACATATATGCAAAGGAATTGACAAATGAAACCCACTGGTTTAACGAAATCCGGTTAAATGTAAACGTACTATAAGCTCTATTTTTTTAGCACAATAGTCGAACACTTTGTTTTTCTCGAATAACTGTAATTATAAGCGGTGACTTTTAACTTTTGTTAATTTTTGAAGCCGATAATTATTTTTAAATAAAAATATTCAATGTCGGGTAAAGTGGTCCACTATAAAAAAGTGGGACCTTTTCATGAGGACGTGTTCGAAACATGGGCGCATTTAATATGCGACGAGGTATTCTATCCTCTGAAAACTCGATATGCGAAATTACAGCTGCTTCGGTTTGATAATGAAGCTAGGACCTTCAAAATAAGGCAAATGGTAAGGGTACCGCCCCATTTGCCTTATTTTGGTTGCTATTTTAAAACATGAACCTAAATATTTTTGCATACTTTGTTACCCAAAATTGCAATAAATTTAAATTTATCACAACCTACCTTTTAACTTACTGATCCACATTACCCACACATACCAAGATATTTTTAATTGTCAATAACACATAGACAAATATACCGCTATATTGTGAAAACAAGTTGTTTTAATTTTTTCTGTCCACAATATAAAAAAGTTATCTATATGTTTTTCTAATTAGTGAAAGCAAACATTAAACATTGTGTTAAGTTTTGATTTAAACGGAATATTATTTTTGAATAAAAAATTAAAGTCGGGTAATGTGGACCACTATAAAAAAGGTGGACATTTTCATGGAGACTAATTCGATGTATGGGCTTCTGAAAACTCGATATGGGCACATTCGTGGCCACTTACACGACTTTCGGGTTTCTAGAAAAGTCTATATAACAAATTACATTATATATTCTATTATGTTTAAGGACACACATGGAGCGAACCCCTTTAATGCCTATTTTAAAACATGGACCCATGATGGTTCCCTACTATTGTTTCGTATCACCTCACCATCACCTTCTCCTTTCGTTTACGAAAGGCTGGTATCGTCTTCTTGATACTAGAGCTAGCTTTGCCGCTCTCTGCAAACGGAGTCTCGTTGCAATCTTCTTCGATTCGGGATTGAACTTGTTTTTTCTTCGGGAATCAGATTTGGTATTTGTCTACTCTTATGCAGACCTAATCCTCTTCGTCACTTCTGAGAAAGTAGAGGGAAGTACAGGGCTATCCTTGGGAGTTATGAGTTAGTTTTCATCTTTGTGCACAAGATAATTGCTAATTCCTCCTGCATTTGGGAGTTTCAGTCCTCGACTCCTTGATATACTCCTTGGATGGTTGGTATTGAAAATGGGAAATCGGTATGGTATTTTGAGGCTTTTGGGTTGTAATTTTATAATTTGGGTTCTCATTGAGTAGAAAACTTCCCTCCAAAATTTTTCGGAATGGTTTTTCAAAAAAAATCGGAAGGAGCATTCGAGTTTCTTTACAAAATTCGGGAGAAAAATGGAAATTTTGAGGCAATTTTCGATTTTCTGCACAATTTTGGACAAAACTCTAAAGAAACCTGCTCTGGATAGAAAATAAAATGAAAAAAATGAAACATCTTAATTGTGTTGATTTATAAAAAATTCTGAAATTTCTCGCATGGTTAGAGATGGACAGTGGATAAATACCCGGAAAATGGGGTAAATACCCGGTATTTACTATATCGAATCGCTTATACCACATCTTATATCCTATTTCCGGGTTTCTGTTATCAAATCAATTTAAAATGCATAATTTTGCAATACATTAAACACGTGGGTAAAATACCCGAGTATTTACCCGAAAATTGGGTATAAACTTATTAACTGGTGTACCACATGACGTAGGCTGCTAAAATTTGGCTCACATGTTTTTAATGTCAAACCTAATACTAAATAGTTCCGTTCCAGAACCTAAAACAATCTACTAATTTTACAAGTTTTGCCACTTTTTACTCGAAATCCGTTCCTCAACCCTCAATACTGGTAAAACATTGACTAAAATATAAGAGAGCCCAAAACAAAATCGCGTTCTCTTTGTAAACTTTTTACTCGAGAAATTTGGTCGAGTAAAAATGGTAAACAGGAATGCCTACTTCTGATTGGCTGTTATGTTGATTTTGAAGTATTGTCATCTAATTTTGGCATATTTACTAGATTTGCGTTCCCGAAATTATTTTGTACTTTGAGAGCAATTTTGAAATGTTTCCCTTTTACTAGATTTACTATTAAACAAGTACTGAAACAGACCTAATATTTTCAAAAACACGGTTTTTATAATTTTAAAATTTATTTTCCATAAATTTAATTTATTAATTTACGTTTATTATTTATAACCTATTATACAATAATAATCAAACATCAATTGCTTATTTATTTCCAGATAAAAATGAACTAATTCAAAAGATATCCTGAAGCAAACAAAATAGTTGCAGAATCAAAATAAAAAAACATTAAGAAAATGTTATCCACCGAAACAGTGAGTGCCACAATAACATGTGATAGGGCTTCGCCCATGGACATTAGTGATGACAATTTGAACGTCACTGGAAACACAACAACAACAGCAATAACTGTAACTACAGAAAACCACCAAGTAAACAATAATAATGACCAAAATGACCTCCCTCGGCAAGAGAATCCTGAAACTTTAAAATGTGATAAAAATCCAATCGCCAATTGCCATGAAATCGATGATAATGCCACCCACGATGACAATGATAATGAAGTGGAAGCGGCAGAGGAAGAAGACGACGATGAGTTCTTCACAACCAACAATTATAGTTTATCCGAAGCACAAACAGATATCAACAGTTTGGAGGACGTAGAGGATGACATATTCATTGACAGTGAAGAACAGGTGGAGGGTGACGAATGTGGTCTCACCAAATTGTACCTGAACGAAGTGGAAATTGACAGAAATGAGGAAGAGCAAACCATTACGGAGCTGGTCAATGCTGCTGGTGCTGATAAACTAATGCAAGTGTAGGTTTCCATTTTCACGATGAGAAAACTCAGTTAATATCATTAATTTACTATTTTCTTATATTTTCCAAAACACCCACAGAGAAGAGAACAAGAGTATGCGTGTGGCAATCGGAGTGATACTCAGATTGATATTCCCCCTAGCCAATGGTGTCGTCCGAGGTATTAAAGGCATCAGAGATGTGCGATTTTTAAGAGTTTTCCGTAGTTTAGCTTCTAGCCGCCAGTCTTTATCTAATCTATTTGCTTTTGCCGCTAATACCATATCCATGAATTTGTCCTCCGTACAAGGTAAGTTGGATCGTACAGATTCAAGCTAATGTCGAATGTTGTTTCACAAGTTGCTACCGTTTTAGTGTCACATCGTCTTGAGCCCATATTAAAATTGCTGAAAATTCGCAAATCTCGAGACGGCATTGAAAGTTTACCCGACGTACCCAATTCCTTGCCCAGTAGCCCTGAAATGTTGACACCGCCAACACCGGGTACCCCAACATCGCCGGTATTTTCGCCATTTTTCCGTGAGCCAAGACCTTCATTACCGAATTTTCACGCAGCATCACGCAAACAGATTGCCCTCGAGGAACAAATGGCTCCCAAATGTTGTACCATCAATATTTTGGCCGAACCACCGCCCGGACAGCCTATACGGGCTGATATTGTTTTCATACACGGTTTGCATGGTTCTTTGGTGAACACCTGGAAGCAGGGCTTGTGGGAAAATGAACGGAAGCCGGTTGAATTCGATCGTCCACCGAAACCACCAGTACGTCCGCCCAAGAGGCCAAGACATTCGCGTAGTACACCTCTGCATGCCCCGCTGAAGCAGAAAAGAGCACGTTTTGTCCACCCGGAACATAAACAGTCCTACTATATTGAATCCATAGACGAATTGGAGGATGCTGAGTAAGTGGGAAATGTTGTGAAAACATTTGAAAAATGTATTTCTAATGATTGTCTTATCGTTTTCAGATATTCCTTTGTGTGTGGAGAACCCAAGGATGTACAAGTTTGCGATGGCGTTGAATATAGTTTTCCCACTTTCCGTTTGCGCATGAACGACAATGGACGTCTGCTGCAAGGTGAAATTGATTCCATACTCCAAAAAGTTCAAAATTCCTCGACTGAGGACAAAGAGAATGCCGATGATACCACCAACAACACACCGAACAAAAAACAAAAATCAACAAAACCCTCTCCCAATGATCCCAACTATTCCAAATGTTGGCCCGGAGATTGGCTACCAATTGATTGTCCAGGTGTTCGCGTGATTGCCGTAAACTATACCACCGATCAATATTTGTGGCGTCCATTGTGGAAGAAAAAGGAGCCACGTTCGGGTCTCACCCAACGGGCCAGAGAAATGGCCGAATTGCTCATACAACATCGTGTCGGCTACGGCCATCCAATTGTTTGGGTTGGCCATTCGAAGGGCGGTCTCTTTGTTAAACAAATTATTGTTGATGCCTGGGAAAGTGGTCGCCCGGCAACGGCTCCATTTTGGCGTTCCTCAAAAGGCTGTTTCTTTTATTCGGTACCGCATCGTGGTTCACATTTGGCCAGTATCAAAGCTCCATTCTTAACGCGTTCCGTAGAGTTAATAGATATTGAAAAGAGTAAGTGGGATGTGTTACTAATTTTTGTGGAAATAATTAAATATTTGTTTTATTGCAGATAGCAAATATCTCTTGGATTTACATCGTCGTTTTGTTGGCCTTTATCATTTGGGCCATTTGAAAATTGAAGTGTTCAGTTTTGTGGAAACGGCATTAACCTTAATGTCGGTTTTATATTTGCGAATTGTTGGTGTGGACTCAGCAGGTGAGTTTTAGTTATTTATATTTATTGGCATCCTATAGTATAATCCAATATCCACAAATTTCTTTCAGATCCTGGCATTGGTGATGTCTGCGGCATACGTTTGGACCATCGAGAAATTTGTAAACCACGCAATCGTGATTGTATTTTGTACAAACAATTAGTTAATATGATTAACAAAGTTTGTTAAGCGGAACAACTATCTACTATGTTGTTGTTTTTTTATTTGTTTGTTAGAACAACATACAAACATACATATATTTTTACACACTTTTTTTATAATAACTACAAGCCATTTGAATTTGTTAGTTTTAGTTTATGTTTAAGGTAACCAATACACAAAAGAAACAAATATTTTTTTACAGATAAAAAACAAAACAAGAAGAAACAAAAAATACTATACATTACAAATGTGAATCCATTCAGGAAATTATGTACCAAGATTTGTTTAAAACACGAATTGTGATCTGTTTTTTAAAAGTGAAATGTGATTTATGTGATTTGCTGATATTCAAAATAAAATAGAATTTTTTTCTGTTTCTTTTATTACGAATAATAATTAAGGATAATTGTATTTTGGAAAGTGTATGCAGCGAGTTTTATGTTTTCATTATAAGGAGAGATAAAATGCTATAAAATCTGTAATTATAGATGAACATTACAGGGCAACAATTTCTGATAGTATTGAAGTATTTCTATGAAGTTTCTCGTATAATTAAAAATTATATTATGGAACTGTTGTTCCTTTTGTGAAACCCAATGTATACTACATTTAACTTAAAGTATGATTGTATATCCCTCTGTTACTCCACCAATATAATCCATTGTAAATTTGTTCTTTTATATACAGAGGGATTAAATTCCTATATGTTTTCTTAGATTTCCGTTCTTAAAAAATAAAACATAAAATATAGTTTTACATACACCGTTTAACAAGAAGTTAAAAATGTGATTTTATTTTATCAACTTGTAATTAGATCAAGCCCATATATAATTTCTGAACATGTTATTTAATTGTGTTCTCATGCATAATTATTTTTTAGAGAACGAAAGCATGAGCACAATAACGCTAAATTGTTAAAGTTGTTTTTTTTTTCAATAAACTGTAATGTCAATGATGTTAAATGATTTATTTTATTTGTCTGTTGCAGAAACTGGAAGAATGTAAGAATTGTGCTACGATAACAATTTTTTCTTTATGAAGATATGTAATATTGTTTGAACGTAAAACGTAAGTGTATAAACGTAGTTTTTTAAGTCATGATAATTGGAGGGATTATGTATTAAGGAATGAAAGGTTCGCTGTCGTCCATTTTCAACTTGAACTGGCTATTTTGCATGGATGGAATCAACTACTTTTTAATACGATAACGAATTTTCGTTTATGATATTGAAAAAAAAAATAGTATAATCTAGTAAATCCCTTACGGGAACACACCATTTATGTACAAATTATGATGGTTTAAAAACCTACGTTTGCAGTATACATTTCTATAAATAAAATAAAATCGTAATCAATAGCCATAATTTGAAATTCTGTAATTTTTAACCGAATTTTTTTACCTAGCTTAATATATTTTATAGCTTGGTATTCGGTGGATAATAGGCGATTTACCAAAAAATCTTTGGAATCCCATTTCCTTTCCCTAACAATTGGTATATGAACGTTTCCAAAATACTACCAACATGACTCCACAGTCTGGATTTGGGGATATCATTGAAAAATAATGTTGGACATGGAATAAACTCTAACTGAAAAATGTCAATATTGGTTCTCTCACAAGTGGAAAACGGGTTTGTACATAATTGATAATTGTTCCCATATTTAATCCCTTACAGACTTCGCTGAGTTAATTGTAAGATCAAATTATTTCTTAAAATCTGTTTATTTCCCGAATTCAACATGGCTTCAAAAATAATTCTCCTTTGTTTTATACAAGCAACGAATTTCTAATCTATTAAATAATAATAATTGAATTAAAAATCTTACATAATTTTAATCTGTATATCAATTTTTTAGGTTTATTTTTTCTGGCCTTAATGTCCATTCTTTTGTAAAAACTGGAAATAATCTCCAATTGTCATAAAACGAGCAAACAGGTTTGGTTTTATATTTATATAGAGCAAACCTCAAGTTTTTGAGATATCCGTTTGCTTCGCGTTTACTAATGGCGTAGTTTCTACTTGACCAACGTAAAAAAAAACATTTCAAAAGAGAAGTCTACCCAGATACCGGGTAGCTGCAAAACTAATATACTTATATTTAGAACCAATTTTCTATTGCTTTTTATATAACAATTTATATGAATATTGTTATTACTTTTCTATATTCGGACCATGTCATAATTATGGAAGATAGTCTCATTTGAGATAATTATAATGGAAACCCTTTTTAATTTTTTACTCATATATCTATTTCAAATAAAATGTAAAATAAATTCCATAAAATTTTATGTCATGATACAGACATGTCATGATACAGACATACATTTATGCAAACACAAAATTCTAAAAACTATTAGATTTAAGAAATGTTATCATTAGGCTTAATGTATATAAGTGTGTTTTGCTTAAATACTACATTTGTACCTACATACATTCATATTAATGTAATCATAATTGATAATAAAAATTATTGTATCCAACAATTTTGTAATTCAATAAAAAATAATTTTTGTTGTTTTTATTTGCATTCTATGTTGATGTCCTTGGACATGAAATTATTTACTTTCAAGTAAATTATTCATGAAATAAATTTAGTGTGGACGGGGACTAATGGATATTTTCTGTTACTCCTATTGGGAACATATGTCTTCCACAAAGCATTGCATAGTGCCACGACCGAACCTACCCTACGTCCTAGGAGAACAAATTTATTAATGAGAATTGGTAATTGGAATTAATATAATATTTTATATTGTTATATCAAATAGTTTTGGCTATAAAAGGGGTTCAAATCTGATCATTTTGTTTTTATTTTGTTTGCTGTAGATGTTTTAAACTAGGATTCATTGTTCTTTAATGTAAATGTTTACAGTTATTTGTACCTTTGGCACTTTGTTTATATACTTTGTAAAGTACATTTTAAAATTAGTGCAGTAGAAAATAAGTTTTAACAAAGAACCGATTTTTTTTTTTGGTATGAAAAGTGTGTTTTCAACGGAAAGTAAATTCAGCTACAGATGCTTGCGGATCTAAGAGTTATTTAACCTTTTAGATACCACCTTATAAACAATTTTGTTCATGGCATTGATATGAAAAATACACAACACTACCTTCGGAGTGGCTTTCACAAGATGCAATCGAGAAATATCACAAAATAACTAGGAACAACTCGAAAATTTAGTAGAACCGAGTCAAAAAAGGATTTATTTTCAGTATTTTTTATATAAATCCCACTCTGTTCATCCTTGAACGACCATAAAATAAAGGCCCGATATTATTACATGGAATATACTATTTCTTACATTAGGGAAGACAATATATACCTGTATGTTTTGTAAATCTGATGAATGATAAGTCAGAAATGTATATCAAATATTTGTTGTTTATTAATAAAAGGTAAAAAATTAAACACACTATTTTAATTGAATATAACGATTTTATAGAATATATAGGCTATTCTGAAACGTGGTCCAACAACAATACTTGTTTCTGTCTTCTCCCAACGTAGAAGAAAACTGCAAATTTTCAGCGATTTTGCCTGAATATTAAACGATTTTATTTTAACTTTCATTATGTGAGAACTTTACCAAATCTTGGTCCGATCTATTCAATTTTTCATCACTTGATTCCGGTTGTGCTGAAGTGCGATATCTATAGTTTTTGGTGGAGATCGGATGATATTTAGGTGATTATATGAACCAAAAAGTTGTTTTTTTTTGTCAGTGTTTCCTGTCGCTGAAGAGGTCGCATTTATAACCCAATAAATACGGAAAGGGAATCTAGTCAACGAAAAAGCCTGGCTCAGTCATTATATCATAGCGATCGGTAAATATGTTTCTAATCAAATGAACCAGGACTTTTGCATGACATTACATGAGGATCTATGATTTATATACACGGATATGTGAATTATACTAAAATTGTTACAGAATTTTTACATTATAATATTGTTTAGTAGTACAGTCGACGCCCGATATAGCGAATCAGGCCCATTCGTTATATCGCGAAGTTTTAAGGTGCTATTTTATTTAAAAACAAAAAAGTTAAACCACTTTTCAATGGATTTCCAACAAAAAATATATGATTGGGAAATGTTCGTTATATGCGATAGTCAGTGTAAAAGCTCGACCATTTTCCTCATTCGTAATATCCCGAATTCGTTAAACTGAGTATTAGTTATACCGGGCGTCGACTGTAATAATATCACACCAGTAGATGGATATCTCGCGAAATTCTTCAACGACACACAATTATTTTCGCACAAAACTCAAGTTCAGTGGTTCACTGCTCCGCTCACTGCTTAAACATTGGAAAATCAAATTTATAATTTAAAACATCCGGACACATCAATGTGAAATCGAAAAACGGCACTTTTTTGTGGGTGATACCAAATTTTTTTTTAAATTGCTAGGTGATAGATCGAGTTTATAAAGTGCTACATCTAGCACTAAAAGTGCTAAATTGGCAACACTTGTTACAGTACATCCTAGATAGCAGTACTTCCGTTATTAATTTTCATGACTTTTGTTTTCTTGATATTAATTTCAAGTCTAACATGGCGAGTCAGTTTCTCCAGATCTTATAATTTTGACTGCAGTCAACATCTTGTGAGAGATATAACAGATATTACCCGCATAATCTAGGTCTTGGAGTGGTTGTGGGAGACTCCACGTTATGTGTCTTCTCTGAGAATGGACTTAATTTATTATTTCATCCAGTACAATAGTACAGTACTAAAATATTTTTTTTTTTTTTTATAATTTTTGAAATCACAGCATACCAATTTTATTATTTTAGTAAATTAAATGATATTTTCAAGTAGTTATTATTTAGTAAAAATCTATATGAAATAATATCGGTGAAAAAAGAATTAATTTTCTTTTGAAGTTTTGTTTTTTTATTCGTAAATAAATTTAAAAACATTATTTTTACATTGCAGTTGAAAAGTGATGTTATTTGTCAAGTCCGAGCGTATTTTTGTTTAATGTTTTTATCTGAGGATATAGTGTTTGATCAAAACTAACTATATTTAGTGACATTCCAAAGTAAAAGGTTCAAAT